TTTCTCCTACACACTTGGAAGGAAAGGTAGAGGCGGGTCTTCAGTTGGTTGCAATCTGCAATGTGTCACTGCTAGATGCCACTAAATGCTATGCATTGGCAGCCTGGCAGACAAATTCAAATTGGTCATTTATCAGTGGGCGCTGGCCAAAGTGCCTCTGGAGTATGCAGTTGGATGCACCTACAACCATTCAGAGGAAATGAAATGTGTGACGTAGCATAGTTGGTAAATTAAACTTACCAAATCCTGTCGGAAGTATGGCAAACACATCCTTAATGTCAAACAAACACTTTAAATGCAGTTGTTTGTTCTTAGCAGAAAATACACCGTCCAGTTTGTTTAATACTGATGTGATAGCAGATTCAACAGAAACAGTTCCACATCAGCAGCAGCCATCTTACAGAGCAAACTAAACAATTGAAGTGAGAGGGACAAAATTTGCATTTTGAAAAGTGAGGGAGGCATATTAAAAACAACAATGTGTACTTATCCACGGCTAATAGTCCCAAAAAACATTTCCCCCTGTTTGAGTGTCATTTGATGAAACTGCAGTGCCCAGCTGAAATTATTTAGCCTTTTTAAAAAATTCAAGTATATATTTAGGATCCATGTTTTAAACTTTACATGTTGAGTTGGAACCCTAGGGTTTGGGGCTGAGAGCCACAGAAAGGCTGTGGAAGCTGGATAGTATGGAGACATGGACCTACACATTGTTGGTTTTTCATATTTTCATGGGACTTGTTAGCAATAATACAAATATACAATATCGGCAGCCTTCTAGTTTAACATGTAGTTTTGTTAGTGTATATTTTTACAGGAATGTGAGAGCCTGGCCAGTATTTCTTAGGGCTCATATTATCAACTGGTATTGGTTTATTGGTACATAGGGGAACTAATGTCAAAAAACAAAAATAATCCATTACATACTGCAGGAAAATGTCACTATTACTTTGTCCAACTTCAGTTTTAGTACCTGTGTTTATGATTGCGTATATATATATTACATATTGATAAATAGAGAATTAACTGATTTTAGGCTGTGCTCAGACACGGGCAATTTTCTCTGCGTGTGTTTTGTTAAGAAATGTGGAACTGAGCATCATAGCGAGTTCACACTACACGATTATATCCCTCCATTTTAACAATACAACAGTCTGCCCTAAAAAAAAAGCTAGATCAGAGACTCGCTCCCTTGAGTGACGATCGTTATGTGTGAACTTGAAAAGGCCCAATCCAAGAGATTCGCTAATGTGTTTCAGACACCCCAGAGTAGCAGGTTAAATATCGGGGGAGGACTCGTAACACCTGCAACAGAACATCAGCAAGCATGGCAGTGAGAAAGGTTCCTCGATGTGCTCGCTGATCACTCGTCTAATGTTCAAACCACAACAACTTCAAGATACCCCAAACAGCCATGTAATGTGATGAGTACAGAAATCTGATGACTTTGAAAGTTGTATAGTGTGTAGCTCATATCAGATGTCATACTAACTAATTGACGTCACTCAGCTCAAACCTTTCTCAATTATTAATGTCACTTTGTGTAATCATTGCTAAAAATAATGTGAGCATCTTCATTGGTCCCAAAAATCTAGTCAGGCTCTAGTAATTGGTGTCATCCATTATGAATTGCTTGTCTATGTATAATAGGTTATGAAATCATGTTAGTGTCAATGTTAAGGTCATGTAATGGTAATTTGGTAATAAGATGCTCAGTATGTGTCATTTTAATGACAAGCTGCCGGGCTTGCAGACAACTCAGTGAAGTCCTTTACAGGCGGCAGGTTTAAGATAAAAAACCTATCTTTTCTTTAACAAGACATAACGTCTCATACACGTCCTGTTTCAGTGGATCAACCAGAAAATGTGAACATGACGGCTGAGGAGGAAGTGGATGATGATGATGAAGACATACCAGACTTCAGGACTTTTAAACTGAACACAGAGAATGCACATCTGTTCATGGATCATGCAAATGGTACAGCTCTTTACAGTTCAGTGGTCAGAATGGAACGCAGCTTGTATTGAGGTGTGATGTGCAACATTTGTTCCTGTAGATGAAGAAGTCCCTCCTATAAAACATGGAAATTCCATCACAGACCGACGCAGTACCTTCCAGCCTCACTTAGCACCTGTGGTGACTCCCAGACAGGTACAGAACACGAATGACATGACACACAATACAACAGTCACAACTTCTGTGTATGAATTATTCAGTTGAGAAATGCAGTGATGGCTTATTTTTATTGAACCATGAAAACAAATGGCGAACAACAGCTCATATGAATTTAAGTAGAAATTAGTTAATGAGGCTCCTGTAAGGGCTCGTTTCTGCATACTAATCTCACTGTCTGGCTCTCAGGGAACATTCCGACTGATCTTAAAAGCTTCCACCCACCACTGTCCTCTAGAGAGCAGATGAACTGAATAGACTGATACCTGTTCACCATTTACATGCAATATTTTCTTCTAATAGTCTGGAAATGTTCAGTTCAGCCAAATACATCATTGAGAAGAAGAGATGTGCTTCATTAAGAGCAAATTAAAGATTTATTATTTTTTATCCAGTGTAGCTTTATGTATTTGTTATTTCATTAGCCTTGTTTTATGTGGTAATTATTATTTCATCACCTAAATTTTTTTTTCAAATGTCTGTACTTCTTTTATAATTCCATATTTCCTAATGGTAACTATTTATGTTACATTTTATCACACAAAATCTCTTTTCATGACAGAGGAGTTGTCACCAGCCCCCTTCCTCCTACATTTTTAACCAATCACGTCCCCAGCCAGCAAGCTCACTACCTTGTGTTGGCTAAAGCAAAACTTTTACAACGCTTAACACCTCGGAAATATTAGGCTTTCTAGGAACCACCATTATGCCCGAAGTTCAAATATGACCCTATTCATCTACAGACAATTCACGCGAGAGCCAGATTTATTCCTGATAAGAAGATTATTTATTGTTGACTGTTGAATCCTGAATGGAACCAGTGC